TCCATCCATCCATCCATCCATCCAATCACACCCAATCCCACGCTCAATTCTTAATTCATCATTTTCTTCACATTTCAAAGCGTAATATTACTTCGTCACCTCTCGTACTTTTTGCATTTTCCTCCGTTCCGTTTCACAATTTTCATTYCTCTTTTTCCATCTTTAATTGACCATTGTTCGCTGGAAAGTATTATGGAGAGTTCTTGGTTTATACACTTCCACGACTTAAAAAAAGTTAATAGTAATGTCACTAGAACATAACATTATCTTAAGAAGGTTGACAACGAAGGGTCACCAATGGGTCAGGGGGAGGGTTAGGATGCTTTTTTAAGATGAACATTCCGAGATCCCATGTGACTGTGGAGCCTCAAACCTCCACTCATGCTTCTTTACAGAAAAAAATCCATTATGTTTAAAATATATATACATGCTTCCTTACAAGACTTGATGTTCTGTGGCCGGGGTGAGCCAATGACTTCGTAGCACAGCTCGATACCATCCTTTATTCCATTCGCTTGCACCTTCTTTCGAAAGAGGATCAAAAAACTAAAATAATGGAACAGTAATATACAGTAATATAAAATTGCATAGGGAGGGGCCAATCTTAAAATGCATGTATTATTTCACAAAAAATATCACGAGAAATGTTGGGGATATATTATATTTTTCCAAGTTGTAGTAAAGGGAAAATTCTCTGGAGTAAAGGGTTCTCTTGGCGGGCATTATCAGGTGTAATGAAAACATCGCGCATCGACCACTCTCCCTCGCAACTAACCAGAATCATCCACCTGTATATACATACGCCTATGTCATGTGAGCGCCAATGCATATTCTTAATGTTTCGCGTTATTAATTTGATTTAAAATTAAGAATCGAAACTGGAAAGGTTGCGTAAATCTGCGGTTAGCACTGAGGGTCAAACAACGTTAGTAGATGTAACAAAATAATTGCAAAGTTTGATCTTGGGATTCGATTTTAAAACATGTTGTTGAGAATCAATAAAAGTCATTATATTATACGCTGTTGTGTTCTGGGATTAGAGAAAAAGCATTTACGAAACACCTTAAGTATTTAAGAAGTGTGAAAAACACTCGTTTACGCCGTTATCGTGCTAGCTGTAATTCTAAACAGAGATAGGAAATTTTTTTTTTTTGTTGTTTTCACTTATATAGAAAGAAAAAGATTAGTTGTAATTTTCAATGCTGTTTTCTTACACTTCTTTAACAAAGTTAGCTGCATGCGCGCGCCTGACTCATTAACGTCTTTCAATCTGTCAATCATTCTAAATGGGGGGGGGGGGGGGGGCATCAAAAATTTTTACTATATGGAATTGGCACACCTTCCAACTCATAAATTATGAGCGACTATTTATGCTAATGTTACTCAGCATCATTAAGGCATGGCTCTCAGATAAAAAACTGTTTGGCTATATCATAGCCAGTTTTCTACGAATCTTCCCCAAACTTGGTAAGTTAATGTCTTTTGTGAAAAGAAGGAACCTTAGAGCCTTGGTTACCATGGAAACTAAGTCACGTGACCACAAGGCCGTCATCTTGGATTTTTAAACAAATCGTTTGTAGTCGTATTGAAACTACTTCAAAAGTCCTGAAAATCCATWTTCCTTTTTATATTTGCAATACCTATATGGATCTAATTGGATATCTYGRAAATYATATTAAGTTTAATTTTTAGAATATTTTCTGTATTTTCCAAAAAATTAAAAATATTCTAAAAATTAAACTTAATATAAATTCCAAGATATCCAATTAAATCCATATAGGTATTACAAATATAAAAAGGAATATGGATTTTCAGGACTTTTGAAGTAGTTTCAATACGACTACAAACGATTTGTTTAAAAAATCCAAGATGGCGGCCTTGTGGTCACGTGACCTGGTTTCCATGGTAACACATATGCGGTAATTGCTTGCCTTGAAGAATTACTACTACGAGCAAAATTTGGGAAAGATTCATAGTAAACTGTCAAAGATATGAATAAATAACTGATTTTCCATCACTTCCTCAAAAGAGCCATGCCTTAATGGTGCTGAGTAACAAGTCGCTACCGGCTTTAATACTTAATACATTTTCATCTAGCAAAGTTTGCACGCATAGTAGGGTAATGGTGACCAGGAGGGATGGATAAATTGGAAGAAAAAAAACAGGATACTTTTTGAATACTGCAATAACATTGGGCTCTACAGCTTTAAAACACGTTAAAGCTCCAAACACACGGTGTAACATTGCGCGCAACGTTGAAGGCAATCGATGTCGCGAACAATGCCACACGACCCAATTCGTTGCATGCAATGTTTCTGAAGTAGAAAACGACCCTTCTTCAGCAAAATTGCTCGTCATGTTGCAAAGAGTGTTTCTGAGCCTTAACCATCGTGCATTGATAATTCAATCCCAATCTTCTGTTGTTAAATTATACAGACCCTAACCTCTACAACCTTGCAACTTTCAAAAAACTAAATCTTTCACTTTAGACATATATACATGCTTACTTACAAGACTTGTTGTTTTATGACTGGGAGTAGTCGACGACTTCGTAGCACAGCGCGACACAGTCCTCTATTCGATTCGCTTACATCTCCTTTCAAAGCTGGCTAAATACTGAAATAAAACAAAAAACAACAACAACAACAACAACAAAAAAACAACAGTTTATTCGCATTATGGGCCTCTACCAAGTGGAACAGAATTTCCCCGCGAAACCTCGCATTCAAGCGCTTCAGAATGAGGTATTTAAACGCGTGGTTAAACAAAGGCTTTCATTCTCTTGAGAATAAATATAGCGCCGTGCAAGAGAGTGTGAAGTACTTCACATATCTACAAAATGATATGAAGGAATCCCTCGTTCAAAACTTTCTTAAAACGATGAAAATGTCTACAACAAATTCACAGCAATATATGACCAAAGCATTTCATACAGGTATACCTTTGGGATACCTGTGGTAAGGTATGAAATCGTCAAAAAATCAATGACTAATTTTCTCAACGAAAACATGTATATTGAAAGTATTTTTTATTTTCCTTGATAAATAAATAAAAATATTGTAAAATCGGTCGAGTTTAGCCTCGAAAACGGGGATCAAAAACTGCTACCTTAAATTAAACTTCACCACAGGTAGCCCAAATGCCTCCACCCGTCAAAAAACGCTCAATAAAAAATGAAAGAAAGCTTTGATTCAAAATATTATATATTTGCTAGAAAGCACTAATTAAACTTTAAATCTGTGCCTAAAAATATTTCGACATTTCGCGTTACTTCATAGAAAACAAGCCCCTTGAAGTTGAAACCCCAAAATAAGCGTTTTTTGAGACGGTCCAAATTTTCGTAAATCGAAATATTTAGTTTTTCCAAACACAGTACACCTTTTTAGAAAGCTTAAGACCACGTCAACATGATTCTGAAATTACATTCTTCATTAGAATTATATTAAAGATTTTATGGGGGGTGGTAATGTTTGATGAAAATAGGTTTTGGTCAGCGGTATAGTGTTTATCGCATTTTCCTTATTTCGAGTGCTTTTTTATCTTCCTTTCGAATGAAACTGTCCTATGTGATAGATCTTTAGATGTGTCATATGAGGGAAATAGGATATAAGTAATAGGAAAGTGGAATGTAAGAAAATACTGGTTTAAAGTTGGGCTTCCTGTGTTCTGAACACTCCCCGAGTAACACAGGAAGCCCGCAATAATATGTATTATTGAATCATATTTCGGAATAAAATCAAACAAAACATATATTGATGCTAAAAACAAATTTATCACGAATAAATTATTTAAGTCAAATATATATATTGACGAAACCCCTTTGACTATAGCGATAAGAGAAATAAATACGATATACTGATAGTTCAGCATGGTATGTCCTTTTTTACCACGATATGACGTCAACAGTTGGTCATAATGAATAGGTACATAACTACTTTTGACCAACTGATGCATTGATATCGTGGTAAATAAAAAGACATACCACGCCAAACCATATCGCAAATTTGTTAATTCTACTACAAAAAACTATGAAAAAGCTAGAAAGAAAACCTGTTTGGAGCGCGGGTTAGTTCCGCAATATAGAGGGTTCGTATATGAAACAAAAATGTAATATGGTGACTTTGCCGGGATTTAAATATCTGTCCGTAAAATAGAGGTGTCTTTAATATAGAGGTGTCCGGTATTATAGAAATTCCACTGAATATTTGGAACATTCATCCCCCCCAAAAGGAAACACTGTTGATGAAATTCGGGAATCCGGGTTCCAAAAGTACCAGTTCAGGATTCCKGTTTTTCACCATCTTGTCACGTTGAGGGTAGAAACAGCATTGTTTTTAACGAGGATGGGGATGGGGATACGATGGGGGTAGCGGGGGGTATGGGGTCTACACACTCAATTGATATTATGTGGTATTCAAAATATAGTAAATGAATTGCAACTTTATCAGAGTATAGATAAAAAAGAAAAGACTTGACCTCCCCAAACCCTCCCCTCTAGTGTCCGTCATGGTACATCCAAAATTTCAATCTCCTAATACATATGTTTATATTGATGCATTAATAACCTGAGTTATATTAATAAAGAAGGTAAAACAACTTACCAATCAACAATGCAGTAAGAAGACCAGACAGGCTACAAAATGGTGGTCATCAGTTTCATTATCGATTTAAGGGATACCTGTGTAAATTGTTTAATCATCCGCTGGACAGATCCGCTGACGTAGCAARTCAAACATTTTWAAAAAACGTCATGAATTTAATCTAAAATTGACCTATAACATTATGACGTCACAGCTTGTTTACATGGGCAAGAATGATAGGAATTTAGGCGAAATTTTCTTTCGTTCGGGATCTAGTACAACATTTATCTGTTATCRCCTTTCCCCATCTAATTAACCTTTTTTTGTGTGATTTAATTCGTTTTGCTGCTATTTTGCCCCCTCTGGCGACCATGATCCTTAGCGTTAAAACAATGTTTTGATGTGACGTCATAGTGTTATAGGGCAATTTCAGGGGGGGGGGGGGAAATCAGCAAAAATAATATTTGAGTAATGAGAGTTCACGTGAAAATTTGAGAATGCTCTTACTTTTCGCATTCGATCGAGGGAGGGTCCTGAGGGGGTCGGGGCTAATCCTATTTCCCATATAGAATGTAGTGGTAGTGTATGTGGAGGGAACCTCACGAAAGAGCCCCGTAAGGGGAGTGGTGGTTGTAAAATATGTAATATGTAARTTTCTCACCCCCATTATAACCAAATCCATAGTCCAAGCCTATGTTTTGCTCAAATCTTAATCCCATTCCCACTTTCGTTTGTTTGTGAATCTCATTAAAAACTCCGGCTTAGCCATTCTTAGTGCCTTCATCCATCGCTCACTCCCCATTAACGTAGCGTGATGACACTAGCTAAGAACGGCTTTGGGGGCACTATATCATTGGGTGTGTAGGCATATCTTAGAGAGTTACGGATGGGGGTGATCATTGGTAAAATACTCAACATTTGAGGATCAACTTCCAAAAACAAGAGAGTAATAAGATTATCTGAGGAATGCAAGGTGAGGAATACAACAATGCTAAAAGGTATTGCCTGACACTCCAAACAATAAAAAACACACCCAATTCCTATTTCCCCTTTTCTCTTTAATTCATTCATTCTCTTTTTCAATCCCAATGGACCAAATCCACTTCAGCGTAWTGCTTTCCCATTTCAGACCATGTTATTCCCTTGAGTATCATTTCTTTGTTGAATATGGATACCACTCAAACAAAGAATCTTATTCTCAAGGGAATGACACGTGGTCTAAAATGAGAAAACATTAAACAAATTAAATTAACGCCCAATTGGACTTTCATTCCTCCTTTCTTTGCCAAAAGCAAAATAGTCATTCAAATGGTAGATAAAAATGTCTGGGTACACAAATGGCCCTACCACACCCATTTGGAACAACCCTTCTCAAACAAATCAACCACTAAAATAACATTTTTTCACAATTTATTAGAATAGTCAGCAATAATATATTTTCGTTATGAATGTTATCAATAAATATATTCATAACCAAAGATTCCAAGTATGTACGCACGCACGGCACGTTTCCGCCCATATTTAGGCACAGTAGCATATAAATGTTCCATGGCACAGAATTTTTATTGGTAGCAAAGTTTCTTTTTCATTYAAAGAAAATAAATAGATACACGAGTACGTCAAAAATGTTTATATATTTATATATTATCTCTTATTTTTTTGGAAGAAAATAAGATACTGTCTAAGAATTTTTCAAAAGGTGTGTAGAAAATGTTTTGAAATTGCAGTAACAGTGGAATTATTCTTGAAAATAGTCTTTTCTCCTATACATTACTTGAATTTTTGGGTCTCCATTTTGCAAAAAAAGCATAAAAAGTTAAAGCTGAACTCGGGAATTTCAGTTTGCAAAGGTTCTACATTACTCTAGTTAAATACTGCAACTACAAGAGAATTGTGGATTCAAAAGCTATCCTTCTACACACGTTTTCCATAATTATCAGTAGAAAAGTGAATTCAGTACATTTTAACCATAGAAAACATTAAACTGAATTTAATCTTAAGAGTGCAAACAGTAAACTTGTGAAAAAGCAATAGAATAGTTGTAAATTTATGCTTAAAAATCCTTCATTTTCTACTGATTTCTACTTTTTCTTGAGTTTAGTGTTGGTACTATAGTTTTAGATTTTCAAACAAATATCTAGGATAATGCGTATGCAGTAGAAATTATCAAAACTCGTGGATTTTTAGATAATATTAATAAAAAATGGTGAAAAGAGGAAAGGGGTTTGTTAGGGGGGTAGGGGTGCTTCTTTGCATTTATGATTACTGTTGTAAAAAATTAGGGGGGTGGGGGGGGGGGATGAAAATATAAATCATTTCCTCTTTTCATCGACCAAATATATTATGAACATGACAAACATAGATTGAAAAAGAGTAAAAAGATAAGACACCTCTTGATATGCATTCCAGATAGATCCATTGAAGGACCAAAAAGGCTGATTTATGTGGTACAATTTTTCCTTACAACTGCCAAGAGCAACATGCTTATGCCAAAGTCTTAGCTGCCATTAGCAAGTTGGACCTAAAGAAACTTGTTCCAAAAAGCTATCAAGTAGCTACAAGTCAACAAAATTAAACACAACAAAATATATTAATATTGATCTGAAAGCCTCAACCCAAAAAGGAAAACATTTACAAGATCAAAATTCAAAATTTATTAATCAGCTGCATTAACTTCAAATTGACTCAAATTGACTTGATAGCTGCTTGTGTTGCAATAATGTTTTTTTTAGAGAATTGGTACAATTACCTGAGTGAACACAAAAAGGCATTAAATAAATTCATTATTCAACAGTTAAACAAGTGTTTTTCCCCAATAATTTGTTTATATCAGTGTAACAATCTCTACTATCTGTCCTATCATGAAGTCAGGCTTCCTCAAAAACATTATAATGGAAATTCTTGGGGTGCATGTTATGACAGACCTGTTATGACAGCCACCATGTTGGTTGACAACGACAAAGGATTCCTCATTAGCTTCTTTTGTTAGATCAACCATCATGACAGCTGTTTAATTATTACTTATATCTCAAGGGATTTTGAGTCATGTGGTTGTACCATAAGAATTGTGATTGTATTGTCTATCTCAGATTAATCCACCAAGCTAAAGCCCTAGCCAATATAACCTAACAGATATTCAATTTTCAGTTTGCCAAAGAAAGCCTGCTCTCCTACTTACGACAGCACCACTATATCAAAAGCCAGAAAAACRAATACTGTGCTATGGTTTGTGCTAGAAAGTAGGATGTAGGTGGCCTTCTGTTACACACTTTGGTAATTGCACTAATAAAATGAAGATATTGGTGAATATTTGAYAAGTTATAGCAAAGGAGGACTATTATAGACAATCGTTAAATTTGACAGACTTTCAAATATTATATTTATGAAAAATCAAAATAAATACAGTATGAATTGATCAATGTACAGTTCCATATTTAAAATAAATTTGATACAAGAGCTTAAAAAATTCACTCCTAGGAAAAAGATTGTTCTTTCATTCATTAATTCAATTGTTCATTCTTTCATTCATTCACGTCACTCATTCAATTCAGTGAGCCAAGATTAACTGTACAAAAAAGATAGGAAATGTTAATAGAATTGCAAGCCCTTTGCTTGAGTGCATATTTATGTACAATAACTATAATAATAATAATGGTAATCATAATAATGATAATAATAATAATATTAAAAGGCTGGCTGACGCCAAGATTCGTAAAGACAGTATTTCATATCACATATCATCAAAGAAGGAGAAAACATTTAACTGATTGCAGTAATAAAATAATTGTGAAAAGTACTTAGTTATTAATTCAAATTTTTTTTTTTCAAATTGTTTGTAATAATCTGATTTTCTCCTAGGTAAATAAATTAGGATATTGAAAAAAGTCTGTAAAGAACACCTCAAAAGAGTCGTATGAATAGCAAGCTCTAGATAGAAGAGTTTGAAATGAAAATTGTACTGGTAGAACACTTTGTCAAATGCAATATYATTGACTGATACGATATCATATCAAAAGAATTCCTTGGAAAAGATCTAGGTTGTTATTAACTAATATTCCTACTTATAACTAAATGCTACTGAACCTAATAATGCTACTCATATGTCTGAATAAATCAATATACTTAGTACAATAATAATCAATTTTTGCCTGCTTCTTGTAGTGTTTCCTCACCACATATGTAGACACTTAAAATAACATGACATTAAAACAGTTTACACTATATCCAAGGTATTAACACTCTTAAAAAACTTCACATAACACTCACATGAGAAGAAATCTTAAAATGACCATTGTAACTCGACGAGGTTAAGTTAGTAATGTTTTAGGGCTCTTAGTTTGTGAGTTGGCGTTACCTTCTGGTGTACTAAAGGGTTTAGTGATAGCTTCAGGGGATGAGCTTTCTTCACCCTGTGAACCAGGGTCTTTATCTAGTCCAACTGATGCCCCAGTAGACCCGTTATTTAGCCCAACAAATGGATAGCTTCCATAGCCTGGTTGAGCACYGTACATGGGGTTGTAAGCATTTCCAAACATAAAATGTGAAGGTACCGAAGATGGGCTTGTCAGTGGAGACTTGGCACTGACTTGATTGTTAGGGGCCACACCCATGCCATAGGGGGTTGGATAAGACATCCCTCCAAAAGGACCATATGTTTGTTGATATCCACCAGTTTGGTGCACCTGATCATATGAATACCCAGGTGAGTTGAAAGAGTTGGGTGATGGTGATGGGCTTGAAGGTGACGATGACCTTGACGAGTCATTTTCTTCTTGTTTAGAAGTTTTAGTGTAGTTTGCGTTGTTATAACCCCCAGTGAAGAACTGATGGGACAAGGTAGGGTTGGCAGTAGTGGGAGTGGTGGGGTTTGACCTCTGTTGCTCACTAGAGGGATGTCCATATAGTAAAACTCGATTATCCTATCAAATAAACAGCCAACATCAGTCAACTACTTAACACACCACGAGGTAGAGCCTCTCAACCTGATGCCACACCACATGCATTGGGCCTCTCCCTTGATTCAGGGGTTTCTCTAGTTTTTACTGACCCAGAATTATCAATATCCCAACTTAGATCAGCCGAAGTTGTACAAAGCCAGACTAGCTAGTGCTAATCCAGGGTTAGCTCTAATAATACCTACAGAGTTAATCCTGGATAAGCACTAATCAGGTTTTGAAAAACTAGGCTCTGTTTCAAAGCACAAGATAAAAACTAGATCTGTAATGTTACCTTAGCTCCTTCATTTCTGGTGTCGACATTTTTAGATGGCACAGGCATGGGTGACTGATGAAACAAAACACCAAAGACATTAAATCAATAACATTTTAACTTGCAAACTGGTTTGTTTCTCTCTCTCTCTCTCTCTTTACGGATGAACTAGATTATGTAAGGGGAATTCGATTGTAAGGTTTCAAGTCTTTGGCAAGAAATACCTGCAAAAAGTAACTAAATATTTGAGTGGGGTCTTATTTTACTCTGAAGATTGTCTTGCCGATAACCTTCCTCACTAAAGCAATCGCAAGATAATGCTTACTACATACCTGTTCTTTGTGTATGCCCATAACAGGGTTAGGAATGCCGTTCCCAGGAGATATCTGATGATCACTCAAGCCAGGTAACTTGACCTTCATATCACCAGCCGTTGACGGCAAAGTCCCACCACCTGGCCAATCATGACCTAAGTATTCCCCTAGATTGGTACCTCCAGAGTTAACTTGACTGCCCGCAGATCCGAGCTTATCGGTTTTGGGCTTTCGACCCCTCTTTTTGACTGTCGGTGGTTTATCAGGCTTTTCTCCTTTATCCTCCTTCTTTTTTCTGCGTTTTTTGGGTGTTTTCTCTGTGTGCAAAGGGTCTGCAGGGTACTGCTGGTCAAGTGGGACTGATGAGTCCATGTTTATGGCATTTTCAGACCAGAAGCTGGCATCTTTTTTATATTTTCTAGGTTTTCGATGGACTGAAAAATTGATGTTAAAATGTCAACACCGATTAATGATATGGTTTGAAGGATGGGAGGTATAGCATTGAGAGGTTTGTCTTCCACCACTGCATATCAACCCAAGAGTAGAGGTACCAGCTGGTTTTTTCTTCCACTATGAAAGGGTATTTCCCAACCCCCTCAGCTATCAACTTTTGTATCCCAAACATATTCAGTGGAGAATGGACACTCTTATGTTATATAATCTCTCAYGTCGTTTAATGCCATAAAGAACCTAGCCTTTCTTTCTTTCCCATCTTTTTTGTAATTAGTCTATTATTTTCCCTTAAAACCAAAATTCATCTACCTGGTGCTGGATCGCCATCACTTCCTATGCTATCTGTTTCACCTTCTGCAAGATGACAAAAATATAAGAAAAATCAATGCTTTAAACCAGACAACCAGTATGCAAAGCTACTCTCCAGAATGATTTACCCAAGAGATCTCTAGTAAAGATCATAGAGTAACCTTATAAGGACAAGAATCTTTAAGGTTGGGGTTGATCAAGGGCAGAAGAGGACAGGGTGTGATAGAGAATGGTGAAGCAAACAAAACAAGGGTCCAAAGCTATTCTCCAGACTGATTTGGCCCAGAGGAGTAAAGATCATTCAGTAACATATGTACAAAAATCTCTGACTGGGGTTGATCAAGGGGGAAAGAATCTAGAAGCTTGAAGGAAATAATATTATCATAGAGAAGGGAATCCTATAATCAAGGTYGTTTGGGATTAGTTAATACATTTTAGGATTTTACCTTTGACTAAAAGTCCATCCTTTTTTCTTTTCCTTCTGTGTTTTTTGAGAGAAAGTTTTAAACCCTCAACCTGAAGAAAACAAGATATTTAAATCAGTTTAATCTTACTATAGGTGATCACAATAGGTGATCAATATTCTTTCTTCATTCACACTCTAAGGTGAAGTCCTTGGTGCCAGCCA